TTCTTTATGCACCAAGAGCTTGTAACACTCCAAAGAGAAAGGAAAAATTGAAATCGCATCATATGACCCCTTTAGCATATATTGCAGTGCAATGCAGTGATGATTGAAAGATGAACAAATAAATGTTCCTCAAAAGCCTGATGATCATATTTAATATTCACATTATGATGTCTGGATAAACCTAAGTTGCTTCAGTCTATTAAGTGTTTATCTTGAAATGTTATACTAACAATATCAAAGTTATTCTTATGTTTACTTTATAAAACTCAGTAAAGATTTCACAGCAAAACACATGTGAAGCACTTGTTAAAAAGTATAAACTATCAATCAGACAGGCATGTAGTATCTTGTGAACAACAGGATTAGCAGCAACGTTTTGTTCAGGTTGATCATTTAGAAGCCTTAGAAATTTGTATTTCAAATGTGACACAGTTCAGGGTTTCAGTTTAAATTTTCAAAACTGGAATACAAAAAAGACATTCCCATTCTACTTCAAGCATGTACTTTGCAATGTGTTTATCTCTCGTAATGTCAAATGCAAAAAAAGGCTTTATTTTCTTTATGGCTTGTTATGCTTTTCTTAAATGATAAAATACGACCCAGGCATGTTTTTAGTGGAGATGTTCTGCATACCTTCCCTGGTTTGAGTTTGACCCACAGCTCATTGTCTGGTCTCCTGAGTTCAGCGGTGAGCTGCCTGTGAGCCGCGTACCAGCGCCGCACCTCATCATGAGGGACTGTGTTAATAACAGAACGGTCATAGTTATTATACCTGCAAAACAAGAAAACACAACTCAAACAAAACTGGATGAAATGCAGCAGAACCTTTAATTATAAGTTTAATATCATTAGGAAATGTATTTCCTTTAATAACTTAGCCCTCATTGCATTCAGTTCAGTTCTGACCTTCTAATACAGGAAACAAGTTTGCAAATGTATTAAAACTATCAAAATGCAAAAAAAAAAAGTTTTTTTTTTTTTTCAGATTTCTAATTTTTTTAAAGAAGAGGTTTAACCATTTAAACTAAATTCTTACACTTTTCATGTTCGGGTCAGATTTGACCCGGAAGTGCTCTGTAGCTTTATACATGAAATACAGATTTTTTTGTGTGTGTGTATTACACCTATTAGTTAGATTTGTCTAAACTTGCTCATATAAAATGTATGTAGCCTCTTTCTCTTCTCTCACACAAACTTTTAGGAATGAATTTTGTTGGTAAATCTAAATATGCACCAAAGAGACACTATAAACAGACAAAATATGTAACTGATATAAACTACAGCTCAAAGGGTGCATGGCAGAAGTAAAAAAAAAAATAATAGGACTGTTTTGGTGCAAACAACATTATGTTATAGGGGAAAATGAATGACACGATCCCTTAGTTTTCACGTGCAGGAAAAGGTCTCTTACCGAATCATGTACACCTCATTGTTCCACGGATAGACGTTGAGCACGGGGCCGATGCCGATCATGTGGTTGCGATGCTCACTCAGGTTCTCCACATACTCGTGTTTTATCGGCACGTGTGAAAGCAGCTCAAAGTTCTCGGGCGTTCGCTGGAGCACCGCGTCAGCGGCGTGGAAACCGTCCACCAGCAGAGTTCTGCCCCCCGTTCCTTCATGTCTCAGACAGTGAAACACCTGGATGCTTACGGAGCAAAACAAGATATTAAAAGCAGCACTGCTGGATGTGGACCATATTCACCATTAAATAATAATAAAAATAATCATTCGTTTTATTTACGGGCACCTTTCAAGACACTCAAGGACACCTTACAAAAATCAAATACATAAACAATAAATGACAAGAAACAATGCACAATAATGCACAAAACTAGATCAATCAGAATAAGCTCAAAAAATAAGTTTTTAAAAATAAGACGCGATTTAAAAATGGAAAGACTAGAACTATTAGGCCTACGTATATCAAGCGGTAAAGTATTCCAAAGACTCAGAGCCGTAAAACCAAAAGCTCTACATCCCATGGTAGTCAAACGTACAGATGGTACAACTAAAGTCACAGAAGCAGAAGATCTGAGAGATCGGGTAGGTGAATACCATAGCAAAAAATAAGTTAAGACACGATTTAAAAATGGAAAGACTAGAACTATTAGGCCTACGTATATCAAGCGGTAAAGTATTCCAAAGACTCAGAGCCGTAAAACCAAAAGCTCTACATCCCATGGTAGTCAAACGTACAGATGGTACAACTAAAGTCACAGAAGCAGAAGATCTGAGAGATCGGGTAGGTGAATACCATACACATGAAGAAGTTCACGCCAGTTTGTGGCCATTTTTGCAATTATGTTCGATGTTGCTAATGGCGCAGAAATTACATGCTTATTTTATTCGACAGAATGATGCATCCCTAATGTCATACTATACACTACTATGCCAGTTTCACAGTTAAAGGAACACTCCACTATTTTTGAAAATAGGCTCATTTTCCAATTCCACTAGTTAAGTTTTACCGTTTTCGAATCCATTCAGCCGATCTCCGGGTCTGGCGGTGGCACTTTTAGCTGTAGCTTAGCATAGATCATTGAATCTGATTAGACCGTTAGCATCTCGCTCAAAAATGACCAAAGAGTTTTGATATTTTTCCTATTTAAAACTTGACTCTTCTGTAGTTACATCGTGTAGTAAGACCGACGGAAAATGAAAAGTTGCGATTTTCTAGGCTTTGCTAAGGAACTTTGCTGCCGTACCATGGGTGCAGCAGGCGCAATGATATTACGCAGCGCCTGAAAATAGGCTTATTGGAAGTTACCTAGCTGGGGACTATTTTCAGGCGCTGCGTAATATCATTATCATATCGGCCTAGAAAATCGCAACTTTTCATTTTCCGTCAGTCTTAGTACACGATGTAACTACAGAAGAGTCAAGTTTTAAATAGAAAAAATATAGAAAGTCAAGTTTTAAATAGGAAAAATATCGAAACTCTTTGGTCATTTTTGAGCGAGATGCTAACGGTCTAATCAGATTCAATGATCTATGCTAAGCTACAGCTAAAAGTGCTACCGTCAGACCCGGAGATCGGCTGAATGGATTCGAAAACGGTAAAACTCAACTGTTTAACTCTAGGGGAGTTGGAAAATGAGCCCACTTTCAAAAATAGTGGAGTGTTCCTTTAAGAACAAATGTCAAAACACATATTAGCTTTAGGGAAACAGAACAGAATTTCATAAATGTCTTCACAGGCAAATTTTGCTTGCAAAATATAAAATAAGCATAGCAAGCTGTCTTTTTGGCAATGGGTGCAAATATGAACAGTGCCCCACAAAGGCACAATGTAGTTACTACACCTTGATTTTTGTAATCCACCATCAAAGCCTGACGGCCAACTAGGACAGCTGAGTGCATGAAGTGTCCTACATAACACACTTGATTGTTTCGGTTGAATAAGTGCATCATCTGGGTACTTAGAAGTGTTTGCTCTTGTTGGAATTTTCATTGTGAACACCACTCACACTATTTCAACTATGAAACGGCATAGAATAGTGCATAAGTAATTTGCAGTTTGCTATTAGGCCACTCTTTTGGCTTCACCTCTGCTCAAACTGAAATCTGACACAATTTATAGTATAAATGCACTTCAGAGATCGGCCAATATTTTTTGTCTTGCATCCAAGATCAATACAAAGGTTTTTGTTAAGTGTCTTCTAACCATTATGCAAATGACATTTCAGTTTGTTTTTATTTCTACTTCTTGACATAATAACTAAATCATAGCTACCAACAATAAATAATTGTGTCTTTTACAATCATAACAATACTTGTTATGTGCTGCAAGTCTAATATTTCCTGCAACATTTCACTGAGTAGCTGTTTGCCTGTTACAAGTTGAACAATTTGTGGAAAACTAAACATTAAGCTAATAATAAGTACTGTAGTGTTGTTGGGTTTTCGTCTTTAGAGAATGGCATTGACTTATAAAGGAGTAGAAAAATGTGGACATCATTTAAAAATAAATAAATACAAATCGGTCAAATCTCCTAACTTGTTTTCTAAGGTTACTCCTGTGGTCATTAGATGATTTAAGCACTTATAATAGAACAGAGAGGATGTGAATTGGACTCCCTGCCGACTGACTAAGCATGCACTACAGAAACTTGATCTGACAGACATTTGGCCTTTCGTGGCTAATTGAAGCCTAACTTTGATTTTCCCGTTTACCCGCAGGGTTCTTGAAAGTATGACGTGTCGGTGTGGCGGTCCAGTGCCAGCTTTGTGTAGGCTGTATCTCCACGAGAAAAATCTGAAGTGAAGTTCCACATCCGCCCATACATGGTCTCCCTGGAAACAAAGAATTGCTTAATTTTAATTAGGACAAACTATTATTGTGACCTTCATTTTCGAAATCAATCATCAAAATCTCCAGGAAAAAAAGGAATGACATGGTTCTCCTTCCTGTTACACTGAAACAAGGGCTGCACGATATGCATGTCACAAGGACTTAAGATAACTCAATGAATTTAATACTTATAAAAGTTTATGGTGACGCAGATAGCAGACAATAAACTGGGTGCAAGGCATATGTGTGTGCGCAAAAGTCTGAAAGCTGGGGCGAACGTGAAACGCTCATGTACCTGCAGTGTCTCAAGAGTGCATTTTTAACTAATATGTTTGTTTAGTTGCTTGAATAAAGTCTATGCTTTATACAGAGAAATATCATATTATAGACTTCACTTACCATTTCTCATGTATTTTGTCTTCAAACTCAACCTTTAAAGGGGTCATATGATGCGATTTCAATTTTTCCTTTCTCTTTGGAGTGTTACAAGCTCTTGGTGCATAAAGAAGATCTGTAAAGTTGCAAAGACTAAAGAGTCAAATCCAAGGAGATATTCCGGATCGGCTTTCACCGTGGACAAAGCGGAGTCCAGCTTGGGGTCGTCACATGTGGTTGCCGCAAACCCGTCGGACGCTCCTTCGTCGAATCCGCCGGCCGCGCCGTTCAATCAGAGCACACCTTGCTTTTCAGACCGATGTAAACAATAATGTAAAGTATGTGGAAAATAATGTGTTTTTTGAACCTTAAACCACATAAACACATTTCATTACACCAAATACACAAAATAATGTTCTTTTTAGCAACATCATATGACCCCTTTAAACTTATCAACGCCAGTTTATTCATTCTTTAAACAAACATTTGCCTGTATGGTGATTTGACTGTCTGGTGTGCAACCCGTTTTAGTCTTGTTTGGAGTATCTGTAGTATTAGCCTACGTATATTGTCAGTTTTTATAAAGGTTTTCATTTTAATTTAATTTATCATATCACACTCATTTTTCTTGACTATCGAGCAGCCCATGTGGCAACAATCCTCTCTTTGTCTAAATGCAACACTAAAAATGGAAGGGGACTGGAGGACCTGAACTTTATTTTGTCAGACCAGCGGATTAATGAAAGCCCTGGATAGAGAGAACCTAAAGTGCCCACATTATGCTCATTTAAGTTCATAATTTATTTTGGGGTTCTGTTAGAGTAAATTTACATGATTTAAAGTTCAAAAAGACTCATTATTTTTCTCATATTTTACATTGCTGGAGCACCTCTTTTCACTCACTGTCTTAAAACACATTTAGCTCCTGTCTCTTCTCAAAAAGCCCAGTCTGCTCTGATTGGTCAACTGCTTAGCGTATGTATGTAACGCCTCTTGACATTACTGAGGCTTCATAAGCAGCTGTAAACAGTATTATATGTTTGGTAACTTTGGCATCGCTATTATAAATCCATTCGGCATCTCCAATCAACTGTTCTTTGAGGACAGGCCAAAGCAGCCAGAAGGCGGGAATTAGTTGCCAAAAGTACCGGTACCAAGTCGATACTTAAATTTTGAAAATGTATACAATTCCAGCCTCAAACACTGTACATATTTTAGTGAGTCTCTGTGAAGAGCATCTAAGGTTTCTATTTACAACATGTTTTTGCAGCGTTGAGCTTTGTAGCCAATCACAGACGTGTTTGTGACATGTTTGTTAACCATGTGACTGCAATGGCCAGTCAGAGGCTTCTAAATCAGAATCCACTCAATACGCCAGAGTTTGTTCAGAGTTCTGCACACTTGTAAATTGTTTCACTATAACGAAGTATAAAAACAATATAAATAAATCGATGCGTTTCAGAAAGGCGGGGCATAGAGGAGAAACAATAATGTACAGTATGCGGAAAATAATGTTTTTAACCTTAAACCGCAGAAACACATTTCATTACACCAAATACACAGAATAATGTTCTTTTTTACCAACGTCATATGACCCCTTTAATGAATTGTTTACTTTAACAATATTTGAAGGCTACATGTTAATGTATGATTTACTTACTAATTAACAGCATTATTAAGCAAATTACACATTTAATGTTTTATTTTCAAATAAATAAAAAAAATCATTTTTGCTATGGCACTGAAATTGGTGGTATTGGCACTGATTACTGAAACTTTGGTAACGTGACAACACCAACGGGCATTAAGCAAATGTTTGGTGATGTGGCTTTCTTCTGGAGAAATGGCATGGACTTTATGCTTTGTATCTTTGCACATCATTTACATGCACAAAATATTACACTAAACTTTAGTGACTAAAGGAAAGGTAAAAGAGTTCTTCTAAGGCAGGAAACGAATGGACACTGCTAAATTATCCAGCGGTAGCTCATTAGTCACTGGCAGTGCAAAAAGAAGTCCTGTGTCTGAGTTCTTGACTTACAAAAGCGACCAACCCTGATTTGAGAAACAATGACTTTTTCCTTGTACATTTAAGTAGCAGTGGCACTTTGAAAAGCAATAGTGAAGTCACTGTTGTAATTTACTCAACCTCATGTCATGCCAAAACCTGTATGACTATATTTCTTCTGTGGACTGCAGCGCTACTGAAGTTGTTTTTCTACATGTCCCAGCTGTGTCAGAATTAGGTCTTGTACATTGTGTTCTGGTTAGGTTTGGTTTTGTTCCCGTGCCATGTGTTCCCTGACCTAGTTTCCTAGTGTGTGACAGTTTGTTCCCTTAATTACAGATGTTGTTCACCTGTTGTTTTATTAGCTTACTCATTAGTTCTCACTGTTACTGAAGCCCTGTGTTTCTTCAATTCCTTTGTCCAGTATCCACCTTTTTCTTCAAGAAGTTTATCTCCTAAGATCTCCCAAGTTTGCCTGTGTGGATTATAACAAAACTCTTCTAGTTTTGATCTCATTCATCATGTGCTTCTCTACAACCAACAACACGTTACAAAATGCTCATTTCTATACAATGCATGTGAATTGGGACAGGGGCAGTCAAGCTCCAGATGTAATAAAACCAGCATATTTAGCTTGTGTACAACATTCTTAGTTGTTTGTGGTTTTTACAAAAGTAAAACAAATTTGGATGACATGAAGCGGAGTAAATGATGACAAACAATCTATAACATTAAGCTATCAGAACAAGTTTGAATGATTTAATTGACTTATTTCAGGAGGCGTTACACACTAGCCCTGACCTGATGAGGCTCACTCTTTGGGTCGCTGTTTCAGTAGCTTCTAGGGTTGGTGGGACGCCTTCGACGAAGGCAATTCCGTAAAGCAGGAAGTTGTTGAGGAAGTTCTTCAGCTCCTCGTCGCAGCTCATGAACTTGTCCCAACTAGCAGAGGGCACCTCAGCGCTGGAGTAGATATCTGCGCTCCACAGGATACGAGGTTGCACGGCACTTCGCTTCTGGCCCTCGTAGCTGTTCTGGGCCAGCCATGTGAGATTGTACCGTGTGATGTGACCATCTGGCCCTGGAGGGGATCACAAACACCGTGGAAATGGCTTCATTAGGAGATAACTATGATCAAGGAGTCAAGATTTTCATCAGTTTTATCAGTGGAAGATGTTACTGGTTCAGTGATGAGTCCATCAGGGTATCTGCAGTACAAGCTCAATCAACAAAAATTAATTTAAAAAAAAAAATTCTGGGATACAGTGAGGCACTTACAGTAGAAATGAATGGGGACAACATGTAATCAGTTTCAATAGTGTAGCCAACACCATAAATGTGAGAAGAAAATGGCTTACTAACTTTTTCTGTGTAAAGTTACATCCAATTTTACAACTTCATTGCCACTGCAACACAAGACTATAAACCCGAAACCCTAAAGCAGCTAAAAATGCTGATTTAAACAGATTTAGAGCACCAAAATACACGTTTTCACAGAAGAATGTTAAGTTGAACTTCCATTGAATCTGACTCATGAATGTAAAGCTAAATTGATGCCGGTCTTTTAAGATGGATTTCAAGAGATTTAGGACCACAAAATACAGACTGAAAGATGTTTCACTACCTGCGTCTCTCTAGTGATGGACTTTATTGGGGCAAAAGTCATAGTAAGTGTTAATTAATAGTGAGAATTGGTCCCTAAACTAAAGTTGAATGAATTGGTCCCTAAACTAAAGTGTGACCACAAAAATTATTTGACAATAATTAAAATGTTTAATGCAACAGCTATTGTACTGAATGCAGTACAAGTTTTTCTTTGGTATAATGTGAAATTAAATGTGCACAGTAATATTAAGATTATACAAAGGTTTTAAGAAAGTAAACTGGGCACATTCTGATTTCATATCAGCTTAAAAAGGGACATTGCAATACTGATAAAAAGCTAATGTCAGGGCAGTTTAGGGCTGCACGATAAATCGAAATGGAATCGAGATCGCGATTCGACAGAAGCTGCGATTGTCATGCGTATCTTTCAGTGAAGCACGGTTCTGTGATCAGCAGTAAATCTCCATCCGAAGGCCAGAGGGCGCTCTCGCGCTGAAACTCCAAATACGCCTCGCAGAAGAAACCCAGAAAATGCCTATCGCTGCAGCTGAGTTAACACCTTTTCACACCAAATATTTCACCAGTCGACTGACACAATCAATCGTGGGCCAAAGTAACACAGACACAAAAGTCACGAGAAAGGTTGGAATGCTGTTACTATGTAACTGACTGTTATAAAAATGTAATGCTGCCTATAAAGTGAATCTCAGATGTCTGCTGAGTTTCGTAAGAGTCAAAGGTTTCTGTCTTTCTCACAGAGTTTTATCTTTACTTAGGAAAGAGATATCCATCTTTATTTGGGAAGAGCGTTAAACTTATCTTAGCACACTGGGACCACAATCTCTGAGGAGAGGACTGAAACATGAAGAAGTCGGCTTATCTTCCAATGCCAACATTAAGCAATCTTGCAGAAAACCGTGAACGTTATGTAAAGGTGACACATTCAGTGATTTTGTTTTCTTTCAATCAATTTTGAAAGGATGTTTACCAGGAGATGAGGAACAGGGAATAAATAAACGTGAGCCAACCAATCAGACAAGTCAGACAAGAAAAGAATTAAAAATCGCATGAATGTCGATCTCATCTTTCGACAAAATTACAGTCACTGATGCCTCTCAAGGAATGACAGTCAATTTTATAATGGTTACTTTACTAAAATGATGACATGTACAACCTCCAGAGGGTGCGGCCTTCTTTTAACATTTATTATTTTGAAAGGCCTTCCTTACTGTTTTCAACAACAACTCATAGTTATCATGCCTATCAAGCTGCAAAAACAACAACAACAACAACAAAAATGGAACTAATCCATATTTGTCAGTAAAGACAAACATGGCATCACATCAGACCTGGAGAAAATAAAATAAGAGTTTTGGCATAAGATTAGGATGATCAGTGCATAATAACAAAATTTTGACCTGTTCCCTGCACAAAGCTAGTGTACAACTATGCACACGAGCCATATGAGCTGCTGTTATGAATATGGTCACGGAAAAAGGAGACAAAATAACTAAATAATAACTACAGCCTACTTTTATGGTGGTTTTCAGTTCCTTTTTTTAGCTTGAGGGTGAGGAAATAACGGCAGAATGTTCCTTTACTTTGGTAAACTAGTTTCCCCGGCAGATATCTAATAGTGGTCGACCGATATATCGGCCGATATTTGGCATTTTTCAAATATCGGCATCGGCCAATACGTTTTTCTGTTTGGCCGATGCGTTCGAGGCGGAACTTTTATTTTGACGGCACTGAGAGCAGCAGCGCCTGAGCACACAGTGCTCACATTCTCCCTCTTCTTTGTTTGTTGTTGTCGTTTAACAGTTCTGCCTAATACAGATAGAAGTCTGTCTAAGCATTTGCCCACTGTCATATTCATGTCATTTCCACTGTGTGCTGTACGTAAAATGAGTCTTACCTTGGCTTTATATGAAAAAAATATGATTCCCAATGCACACAAACTTCCCAGAATACTGAGTGCTCTGTTGCTTTTTAATTATATTTTTATTAAATATTTATTTGTGAAAAATACTTTGTCATCTAAAGTACAAGTAGGCTGTGTTTATTTTACAAATTTATTTTTTAATCCATTTTCAAATTAATTAAAATAAATAAAATGATATCGGCTTTATATCGGCCACCCTGTTTTCAAAGATATCGGCTGTCAAAAAACCAACATCAGTCGACCACTAATATCTAGCGGTACTCTTGAATGATTTGCCGTTGCACTGGATCAAGCCTTGTTCTGCACTTACATGTGAGGAAGAGGTTGTTCTCATCCACTCTGCTCTTTGAAGGTCTGATGTTCAGATCAATGCTGGCAGTGTCCAGGTTACGCTGGTTCGTTTTTGAGTTGTAGCATGAAGCGGAGCGGCAGTGATCTCTCAGCCACACGTAGTCAAAGTGCATTACAAGACCACCATAGCTGAGCTCTGCAGAAATACATGAATTCAGTAGACTTCTTCACAAGCATTTACTTTTATTATGGCATGCAATTTAATATAATTCTGCAATGATGTGCATATATCAGTAAGTAATGTGGATATAGAAGTGATAGGCTGATTAATCAACCATTTTAGTGAATTGTGAATAAATAGAGTGTAAAATAAAATAATCATGCTATCATGAATTGCATTACATAAATCGACATTACAGTGGCCTGTTCTCAAGATATCCTTATCAGACATTTTTGATCTAAAACACCTTGTTTGATCCAGTGTTGTTTTAGTACCAACAAATAGTTTTTGTTAATATTTGGAATTAGATTTTATTTTTATATTTTCTGCTTTCACTTAAATTTTTAGTTATTTTGTTATGTTTTGACATTTTTATTAGCATTTGTTGTTTTTACATGTCTATATAGTTTTTATTCATTTTGATTTCAGTTTTAGTTATTTTAGTACATCAAGTGAAACTAAATGAAAATAAGTTTACGGTTGTTTTATATTTTATTCTATTTCAATTCACATTCATTTTATTTAAAAAAAAAAAAAAAGTTAACTAGAATAACCCTGGTTTGACCATTGTCTCCATCTATAATTATTTGGTTGAGAATGAGATACGAAATGATCCTTGGCAGTTCTACACATTTCAAAACTCTGCCTATAATAACAACAACATGTAAATATTAAGCTATTTGGAATGCAGCTGTGTGGGAATGCATGTCTCTCACCCAGGCAGTCAGGCTGCAGCTGATAGCTGCATGAAGATGAATGGGCTGCAGTGTGCTGTTGTAATCTCTTGCTCGGAGAACTGGCTCCCAAACACTCCAAACCTTGTTTCAAGTGCACATATCCACTCAGTCTGGTCAACAGTCTTATCAAAGCCATGGTGACCTGCAAAGAGAGAAGCACCCGTGCAAATAATGCATTAATCACCAACACATGCAGCCAAATAGCCTCATACTGGATAACACTACAGATGTAATGCAGTATATCAGTGTCTGCATGCATGTTACTTGCTGCGCACGAGGAACTTCGAGCTCGCGCGTGCGGTGGTGACAATCACAAAACTTCAGTGAACTTCAATTTACGACTTTTTACGTTTCTTATATACTCGTTAGCATTAATCATTACACTTGAACTTCATCCCCGCCATTGTGTCCATGAGGTGTCTGTCCACGCAAGCGCTCAAATCCGCCGATTCTACTACGTTGAAGACTTGCTACTTAATATTCATGAGCCAGAGCTGTGCCATTGGAGGTTACCGAACAACGTTTACATCACGTAATTAATATTAACAAGTCTTCACCAGAGCCTTCACCAGAAGGTTCCCACGCAACATCACATCGGATTTATTCATATTAATAAGCCAAGCCAAGCCTTTACCATAGTAGGATTTTCCGTTTTATTTTTTTTTATTTTTTTTAATATGTGCGTATTCTTACAATTATTTTCTGGGTTAAATGCTTACTGAACGCCATTTACTTTACACTATCGACATTAAAACTATATTTATTTTATAACATTAACATTTTATACATTTTCATAGCACTTCAAAAATAATTGTACAGTAATAATCATCCGTAAATAAATGTAAATAAAAGCCACTTTCACATTTCTTACTAGTACGTTACTAGCTATTTTATTTTCCAACTTGTTAAGCATAGGCCTATTTGTTCATTAAATACTAGTACTTTTACATTTTTTGGTAGATAGTGGACTAGAAAGCACTAGGTCTTTTCTTAATGACAAATACAATTTGTTAAATATTAAGAATAAAATATCCCGAACTCAACAGCTGGGTACTAGTAATATTTCCAGAAAACTTTAATACCATATAATATACTATATAATAATAAAAAATAAAAACTTTCTCTCTCCCTCCCTCTCTCTTAAAGAGTATCACTTTTACAGTCAGCGTGGCTACTGACACCTGGTGGTAGAAATCTAACATTGCAGACTGAACAAGCAGCATAGAAAACTGCTGACCAGCAATGCTGTGAATGCTGTATGCAATTAAATAAATCAAATTAAATGGTGTTTGTTTTTATGTAAACTCAGGTAAGTATCTAGGCCTACGTCTTTGAAGGCATAGTCTATTATTTGGTACTTTTTTATATATTATTGTGATGTATATGGTAAAGTGAAATTTATATTTATGTGTTTGTGCTTTAAACACCGTAATATATAAATTAATTATTTAGATAATTTATAATCAATTATTATAAATTGATGATTATTTCCTTATGGTATAGTACCTTTAAATGGATTATGATTAAAAGTTATACTATACTGTACAAAACATGCTGTTTTTGTTTTTATTTTTCTAAAAGGATCCAATAAGGTTAGATATGTTATAAAAATGTTAGGTTAGATATGCTATAAAAAGTGCACTTTAACAAGTTTTTTTTTTGTGTGTGTGTGTGTGTGTCTTGAAGCCCTATAAAAGTACAATTTACTTTAAATGTAATTATCACAAAAATAGTTATGCTTCCAAGAACATAGGCACATAATTAACTGAAAAAAGTCAGATGTTTGACAAAATAACCTTATAAAATTCACATAGAGTCTACTGGATGGCAGAGTAGGCTACATATAGTGTACTTCATTTGGGACACAACTATTGAGATGCACTCTAAAAAATAGTTCAGGGGACCTGTTACCACAACTTGGATGCAAGTTAAAAAAAAATTGATTTATTCACATATTAAACCTTTTGAGTTGCCAACATTTTCATGAGGTCCCCTTTTGTCCATAGATTTATTGTGATTGCCTGAAAATTAAAACCGTGAGCTTCGCTAGAGGGCACTCCACTCCAGACTCTTGCCACTTTACCCAGGACTCCATTTCCCATAATCCTTTGCACGGACTCATCAATTGCATCACCTGTCTCTCATCAAATCTCATCATCAGTTCACAGTAGTGATGGGAAGTCCGGCTCTTTTCAAAGATTTGACTCTTTTTATGCATTTTTTCGTTACAAAAAAATACAGTTACTATTATTTAACATTTTAATAAAACTTTATATATAAATTGCGATGAACTGATGTCATCTTTTTATAGATTATAAAAGCAGCGCTATTTGCTGGTATTGCCAAACCATGTACGCAGCAGCCTATGCTTACTTTAGTTAAAAATAACAGTGTTTTGTTAATGTTGATGCTTTAATAACAAATATTTATCAGGAGCGTTTATGCTGGGATTTCATGTAAATTTCACGGATGTAGTCACAGAAAAAAGTAATATAATAAGTAATGTAACTAATTACTTTTGAAATAAAGTAATCAGAACAGTAACGTGAATCGTGATTACTTTTAAAAGGAGTAATCAGTAATTTAAATACAGAGTTCTGGCATGAAACTCTAGATGGCGCAGTCCGATAGGTCTAACTCAATCTGACCTAATGACATCATTATCACATGGCACAGCTGATTGGTTCTCTCAACCTAATGACATCATTATCACATGGCACAGCTGATTGGTTCTCTCCTGTATCGGTAGCCAATGAGCTCGCTGCTCAGCATTCAAATATATGACTACGGCTTACCGTAGCAGTTGCAGCTTGCTTCAGAAACCCTCCACCTTCCCCAGCTCCACCTGTATAGATAGGTCCCATCGATCAGGGTTATAAAAGTTCTGCAATGAAGCATGAACTTTCATTCTAATAAAGAGTGTTGCTGCTTTGAATTTGTCATGTTCAACATGAACTTGTCAAAGCTCTTTATTTGGATTTTTGGTGTGTCATCAGTGGGTGTGTAATGGTGAGTTTGTCTTTTTCCCTTTATAACCGCTGTTTACGTATTGAGTGTTTGTGTATGCATTCATAATGATAGCAAATGATCTGAAATCACGTGGAATCGACCACATTTATTAATTTAATTATGCAAAGCATGGGACGGAATGGAAGGGTATTATGTTAAGTATGAGTATTTCTGTACAACACAATAGGCCTACCAGCATATTTTTGAAAATAAATAAAGGTTAGAGACATATGTCCATGTCAGTCATGAGTACCTTTGTGCTTGCATGTGATTGTACCTGAGATGAAGCCGTGCCTTTTTCAATGTTAATTTTACTAAATTAATTGCATTCATTTATTCACCGTCTTTCTTGCACGCTCTCTAGAGTGAACTCGTCTTGTGGTGCTCTCATATGTGATGGATGTTGCTGAAAATTGTCGTATTTATGGTCTACAACTATTATTACCTAAAACTACTGTTCATATCATTAGTCACTTTTGTGACTTCAGAGTAGGCCTACTGGTGCACATCTCTAAAATTATGTAGCTATTATGCATGTGGCTGTTATGATGTAATGGCCAATTACAACAATTAATTTGAAAACCCAATAAATTAAAAACAGATCTTACCTTCTGGGGATTTAAGGCAAGTTGGAGGTTAAAACATTATTATTAAGATTCTTTCAAGTATCTGAAAACGTACGCAATTGGTTCTATAACTGGGTTTTCTTTGCTTTGTGTAGCTGAGATGGTAGTGTTGAAATGGCCGTTGATGACGTCCTCAGAGCTGATTTCTCTGTGACTTGACTCTGCTTTCCCCAAGGTTTAATCTCAATGCAAGATCAGCTGAAGAAGACCGTTTGGCTGACTTGCTTTCATGGGAGGAGGCATCTGATCTTATGTTAAAAGGTGAGATTGTGGTTAAGAATTAGTGTTTTAATGTTGTTTTGGAGATTTAGAAGGCTGTGAATTTTATGCTAGGATTTTGTTCCTGTTCCTATAGTTTTGTGTGTGTAGGACTGTTGGGTGATGACCTGCAGAATGGTGGCCTCTTCCAAGAAACAAATTCTAGTTCTGGAATGTCTGTGGAGGAATCTGGTTCAGACGTGCCTGGTAACTACAGCCAGGATGCTGAAGCTGAGAGTCCAGTTCAAGCCCCGCTTTTGAGTCCATCTCTGAGTCTTGTTATCTAACAAATCTGGTTTTGAATGAATGGTCAAACCTGGATATTAATTGTTCATGGCTGAGTTTTCAGTGCTGAGTTATGCAGACTCTCGAATCCTCTCATTATAACAAACACTGTGTAGACGCGATGTAAATTGTAGATCCGTTGATTATAACAGAACTGTGAGATTGCGATGTTCATCACGGCGCCAAATAACCTTCCAATACAACTGTAGTAATGTTTTGCATGTGCTGTAAGTGGACGGTAGCCAGTAACACGCTAAAGTATGAGTTCATTTGTGCCTAGGAGTATGCGAATAATGATGGTAAAAATAACCATACTTCAGAATGTTTATATCAGAATATATAAAATGTATAAAGAACATTTTAAATATATAGAATACATGTGTATAGAATATATAAATATTTACAGAATATCAAAATTGCATTGAAGTGTAGAGGTTTGCTTGTGTCATGTAAACACCTTACTGAAATTAAGCCCTTACTCTGCTTATTGGACATAATCACATTATTGGTGCACATGTAAATGTAGTCACTGTCACGTGACCTACCTGTGTCAGCTGCGTTGTGTCACTGCCATTCATAAATCTTCTCCTTTGGCGTCATGGGATAGTAAAGTGTCCACCAAAAATGATACCAGCATGGCGCCGCAAATGGCAGCAAGGACGCTGAGCTCCGCGATTCTTCTATTGTTTTTGTTTGTTTGTTCTGTGTTTTGTCATTCTTCTTCTATAAGTTTCATATACATTACTTCAGAATCACGCCGGAAGTAGTAGGTCATCCGGGTGCCTTTTGCTTACTGTTTTATGATGTCACACTGTTTTTTGCCAACTATATAGTAGGGAAGTATGCGATTTCAGATCCAGCCCTGGAACAGTCACTTCCTGTTGCATGCATGCATTTAGACAAGCTCTTTGAAAGCTGTGCGTGAGATGAAACAGACCACAGAAAGCGAAGTAGGCTATACCCAGGCTTTTATATGACCAAAGTCCACATTAGATCACAATCGGAAGTTATTCAAAACACTCAATGGTAGTTTAAAGTGAGTTTTGAGTAAAGGCACAGTATAAATCTTATAATGTCTAATGTATAATGATGATAGTTTGAGCTCTAATGCACCTGTTACCCTGCTGTGATTATATTTCATGATGTATTCTGTGGAATTAATTCATGCAAGTTCATAAGAAAAGTTTGGTTTTGTTTTCTAGAAAGACGCTGGATTATTCTCGTTGTACCAGCAGGTGTGTGATTATAACCAAGTGCAGAGTGAACAACCAACTTTTTAAACTTCTATGCGCATGAATCGTCATGTGACATGCG